TATCTGTAATCAATTACAGTTGTAATCGGTTACTGTAATCAACGGCCAACTCTGAGGTACGTATGGGAAATTTCGTGATCTAAACAGTTTTGAAGTTATAAAATAATTAAACTGGGATGTTTCTCTATTCGCAACACTATTGCTAATATTTATTTTGTTAGGTTGTTTTAAGTAATTATTTACGTAGTATTAAACAGTTAGTTACTTGTTAAGTATTTATTTAAAATAGTTTTGTATTTTTTATCAAAATAAAAAGTTATTGATGAAGTAATTATTTCATTTTTTTTCTCTCGATCTTTTTAGAAATTTGGCTGCAGAAATTATAAACATAAACGGTGTTTTCAATTTTGATTTGATTATACATCCTGGTATAAAGATCTTCTGATTGGGCAATTGGAGATCTTAATTTGCTTTTCGTTTTTATCTGAAAAAAAGTGTTTATACAAGTATTGCTTCTACATTATTAATACATAAATCTGCAAAATACATATCAGCTAATGATGATTTGGAATCAGAAGTTGGTGATGAAATATTAGAAGTAAATGTTAAAACAAATCTCAAAGGTCCACATAGGGGCATAGTCCAAAGGATTATTGCTATTCTCTCATTTGCATTAAAGGCAAGAAGGTCCTGATTCAAGACTTAGTACACGCCATTTTCAGCTGTGATTATTACTATAAGATAAGTTCTTGAAGAATATGGCTTACGTTTAATTTACAATAGGTGATATCGTCACTGAAGAACATTGGTTTCACGTTCTTTTTAAGCCACTGTAAGCATGAACACCTGCCACGAGATGATTTCGACTAGATGAAATTCTTCAAGATTTTACGTCATTACAGTTCGTTAACAAAATTCTTTTTGGTGCACGATTCTCACTCTTTAAACTGGAATCTAACACTTCAAATCATTATCAATCATGAATCGCTACAGCGCCTTTGCGGTTTTGCTAATATGCATTAGTATATCGGGTTATTATGGTAAGTATGATTTAAATAATAAAATTTTTATGACAATGAACTAATTAAGCGAAACAATTTTGGCAACATATAACGAAAAGTATTATATATGGTATAAACATAAAAATTTTAATTATTAGAGTTAAGTTTGTGGATTATTTGTATTCTTTTTCTTAAAATCATTAAATGCAAACGATTTTTGTATGCAGAGTTTTCTATTTTAAATTTTGTACTACGGTTTTTAATTTGGTTTAGTTAAACGTAAAAAATTCCATTTTTCTCACCCAGTAATATTACCATTCGTTTCTAAACAGCAATTAATAATACCAAAATTAAGCAATCGCTGTTTAAGAATTGGAGTTATTCAAAAGTCAGTCTTATTTTTAAGATTTAGAATAGTAGGGTTGAGGTTTCTTAATTTGTCTTCCTAACTCCTGAGAATCCGCTTAACGGGGGACAACAATGCAGTTCTGTGAGTTGAAACTGTAGAAAAAAGTGAGTTAAAGTAAAACCATGTTGAAAATTGTTTTTTAAAATGCAAAGGAATTATGGCAGGATAATATAGAATTATTCATTGAGTCATTTTTGCTCAGTAATTCTTGCCATGATTCATTTACCTTCTAAATTTTTGGAAAATTGCTTTTGAAGCTTTATAGTTTACTCTTGCTTTATCTGAACTTACTTTTTTTTCTATACTTTAAATTTTAAATTACTAATGTAAGCGGAGCAGAATTTGCCATGAAGGATTTCTCTCGTATTATAGCGTCCTCATACCTTTAACTAGATATAAAGTACTTTGATTCCATTATAAACAGGCTACTTTGGTACTTTTATGAGATCGTTTTATAGATCAATGAAGAAGCTGATCTCTGAATAAAGTTCTTCAATATAGGTCACGATATCTGGTTTCAAGAAAACAACTAAATCTATTTCATTAAGTGAAAATTGTTTACAGAAATTATTATAAAATCTGTTCTGAAACTTTTTTAAACTTCTTTTACGACCATTTTTATTTGACACATCTTCCTCTCTATTAATGTGTAAGAAGAACATTATTGCAAAAACAAAACTTCAAATGTTACCAATATTTTTTATTGCGTACTATTTTAGAGATTATTGAGCTGCAAATTGAGTCTTAAGAATGGCACAAAATACTCAGAGTAAAGATAAAGTTTGCAAAAAAAAAAGTTTTTAAGTGGTGTCTGCGAACAATATGAATTTAAGAAACCATGCAGTGGAATATTTAAAGAGTGTAATTTTTATTAATTTGTTTTACATAACAGTTAGTGATACGAAATTATGTGTTTCATTTCTTAAAATAAAACATGACATAGGCTTTAAATGTAAAGTTTATCAAATTAGAGGTGACGCCATAACTCGGATATCCCTAGATTATTGGCCAATGCTCGCTCTCCGGAGACTAATCATCGTAGCCTAGTATACTTGTTTAAGCAATATATTCGTACATAGCACTAAATTGTCTGGCATTTCGACAGTACTCGGACAACAAACTTGTACATCCTAATATATTAATGACAATAGATACAATAGTTAAAAATAAAATATCGATATTTCTCTTTTGTATAAAAATATACCGATCATATCGCATACACAAGCATCACCCAACCATGTCCAAGTAATAAGCTCTATCTCTTCACGGCCCATGGTAGGAATGGCGCATAATTTTGACCCCAGTCAGACGACGTGAGCAGCATCTGAACTAGTGCCATTCCACTTTCTACTCCACGATCAACTATTGGACTTTAGATACGACAGATTCAATGAGCACCTTGCTGCGTATATACGCTGGTTATTTAGTAGATTTCCAGGATCGAACTCACAATACGCAGCTCTCCAGAAACGGAAAGAGCAAATAAAAAGAATATAATGCGAATTTTCGATAAAAAAAAATTTGAATTCAGATCAGGAAATTTTATTTCACTTACAACTGAAACAGGGTATCAAAATTTAAAATTTAATGCTTTATGATACAAATGCTTTGGTGTTTGTTTGCCAATGTCTTAAGTGACGTAGAAACTAATAGGTGTAGGAATAAGGGCCCGTTGAGCCCTATTCTTTACTACGGATATTCAGTAGTTCTTGTAATAATTTTAAGAACATGTGCTTTAAATTCTTGCTTATTTTAATTTCAAATAGTTTTATATCTCTGGAAAGACTCGCATGAGATTCCGACATCGTTTATTTGATTATTATTTTTTAAACGATCGGCGAGAAACGCATTCATTATATGTATTTCGACTGGGTATGAGATGAACTTAATATGAAATGAATGCAGCTTTTGTATTTCATATCCTATTTCAGCAATTTCGGTGTAGTTCAAATGGGAAAAATTTTAATTTTTTTGAAGTTATACTTCTTATGCGACTTCCAACAAGGTTGCGTTAAACGTTTAACACTACATTTTTATTGGCCGGGAAATCACGTGGTAGGATCCAGTTTTCCCTAGCTCGCCGCACTTAACTATACTCAATGATCAATATTTTAGTTTGATTAGATACACATATAATTTAATAGGGTAGTATTTTTTTATTTTTAAACTTAATGGATAACAATTGTAAAAAATGAGTGAAAACAATCCCACGGACAATGCGACGGATTTAAGGTTATGTCAATGTACGTCTCTTATGAATATCAATTGATTGTTAGGTTTTCTCTTTTCTAATTGCCATTTATATTTCACCAAATGCAGCCATGAGGGATATTAAATTATTTATTGCAAAATCTTTATTGCCGCTATCCACTGCAGGTTCACAAGCTCTGGCAAACGTTGCTGGAGAAGAAATTGATTATTGTGAGCGGCCTGTGATCCTTGTAAGAGATTTTAATGTGAATTTCTAATTACCTGAAGCTGAAACATTATAAACCTTCCTTAAAGACAAATTTGGATTGGAAATGATGATTGGTAGGAATGATCCAACAACCAAAGGGGTAACTACCATTGATGCAGTTTTTGCAAGAAATATTGAAAAAATAGAACTCAAACATTTCGTATCTTACTTTAGTTATTATAATCCCATTGTAAATGTTATAGATTTGGATATTTCTCCACTCGAAAATGATAATTAAAAGATGCGATCAATTGTGAATTGTAAGCATTGTTAATAAAGTTTGTCTTAAAGAAACTATATGATTTCACTAAAAATCAATTTCTACCCCTTCCTATTTTCATTTCCACATTACGAAGTTTAACTTCCTACGCGCGGAGGGACTCCACGCACTATTTTTTTTTTAAAAGGTCGAAGTTGAAAATTAAACAAGTTGGACAAGACTATAAAATGATAACTTATCTAAGCTTAACAATTTTCTGTATTGTTCTTGAATAAAGTTCCTTAATTTTTATTTCATTTAATTTCATGGTTTGGTTTCCAGTAACCAGGGCCCGTGCTAAGGATTTCAAATCAGATGTCAGTAAATTAGCCAAATACCAAAAGTATTCTCCAAATTTTCGTAAGTTTTCGCCAAACGCAAATATTAACAATTTGTTACGATTAATTTTTTCCCCCATAGAAAACTATTTTACGGTAGTATGTTTCAGACTTATATTATTTCGACCCGATTCTAATTGGTTATGCGGTGCATTTACCGAAAAATACGGTAATCTAACAAAAAAATATGGATTTGCTTAGACACAAATTTGAAGACCGAATTAAATATATATTTTTCTTTCCAGTGGAAAAAAAAAATCATTCACCAAATCTTTCGTCCAAACACAATTTTACTCGCCAAATTTACGATTTTATCGCACAATGCGAGATGGCGAAATGGCGAAAGCTTAGCTCGCTTCCTGAAAGTGATTCATATTTTGAAATAGATCATAAATAAGCTGAAATAAAAAAATAACGTGAATAAAGTAGAAATGAAAGTGAATTAATGGACTTACTATAGTTTCAGTTCTATAAACAAGAACCTTCCTCACTGTCTAAACGTTGTTCAATCAATATAAGTGTATTAAATAAACCTTAAAATGATACCATTAAATATTATTGAATTGCTTTCCTCTTTTATAACGTAACTAAATTTTGTGTCCCTTTTGTATTTTAAAAAGACTTAAAAAAAAAAAAGGAAATCAGAAATAAATGAATTATCATAATGAAGTTTTCTTCTACGATATAAAATTATTACTATTATTTTTTCTTCTTCTAATTTTGAAACACAAATTTTGAATAAATTTCGATGATATTTAAAAAAAATTAGATTTAGCGTATTATTTTTATTTGTAAATTTTTCTATAGGCACTTAGAAAACATTTTAACTTCCGAATAAGCTAAAAGGTAATAAGAAGATGGAAAGGCACTTTTCTTATTCTCAATAAAAGAAGAAAAAAAAAGGATTTGTGTAATAAGAGAGGCATAATTTCATATTTATCAAAAAATAATACATAATTGAAGCATTCAAATATTTTTGATTTTAGTGTCGAAGAGTTTATTTCCTTCCCTCATCTTTCTTATACAGAAATTTCTTCTTTGAAATATCGTTTTTCATATAGCTGTTTGTTCTGTTTCAGTTAATTTAAGTAACTATTTTTCTCTTTTTAGGGTCTTCTCTTTTTATGGAAAATCGCAGTCTTAATATTTTTATTTTGAAAAATGCGAAAGAAAGGGACCACCTTGAATAACTTTTGATCTAACGATCAAAGTTATTCAAGGTCATTCCTAAACTTTACGTTTTAGGATTCAATCTTAACTGTGCGAAAGGGCAACCTCAAATATGCTAGTTAATTAGTGCAGACGATACCTTAGATTACGAAATCAGACACAAAAACGTACTTCCTCTGAATAAGCATACCTATTTTTATGATGGATTCAGATTTCTGACCACCAAAATATAGGGAGAAATCGCAATCTAGGAAATATAGTCCCGATAGTTTGGTTATGAGAGCAGTCCGAAGTTTGGGTCCCTTAATGTTAATTTAACTTTTTGCGTATTTCACCATATCTCGAGAAGTTTTTAAGTTTTTAAGACTAATTATATTTGCTTATTTAACTATAATTCCATGCAAAAAATAACTATCGGTCAAATAGTTCTTGAGAAATAGAATTTAAAAACTTGATTTCTCAGGAACTATTCGACTGATTTCTCTCATATTTTGCTATGAAAAAAAAGACACATTCTTTCACGTGATTTTAAAAAAATATATACCTTAAAATTAAAAAAAATTTCGACTATTATTAAATAAAATTAAAAAAAACATTTACTTGAAGTTATTTTTTGAATGGAATTGTCTTTGGATAAATATGTTACGACGGAATATCACTTTCCTGACCAGATTATAGAGACCACATTTCTAAGATTGCCGCTACCCCCCCCCCTATATTTCGGGGTCTGAAATCCGAACCCATCATAAAAAGGGTATTTGTTAAAAGAAAAAAAAAAAAGATATCACCCTGAATTACTTTCGTTCTAATGATCAGATTTTCAAGTGCTAAGTGTCAATCTTATTGGTTTTTGGGGATGACTTCAAATATGTTAATTATTAATTGAGTTAAATCAGACACAAAAACGTACTTTCTCTGAATAAACATATATGATACATATTTGGATTTCTGACCTTCAAAATATAGGGTATAGTCGCAATCTGGAAATTGTGGCCCCTATAGTTAAGTTAGGAGAGCATTAAATTTTGGTCACCTTAATGTTAATTTCACTTTTTGCTTTTTTAGTCATATCTTTAAAACTGATTAAGCAATTCCATAAGCAATTGAGCAATTTATAAATTTTTATTATTTAATTTAATTGTGGATGAAATTTTTTTTAATTACGAGGCATAAATTTTTTTATACCCTATAACTCTGCGTATTTTTCTATTGCAAAATCTAATGTTTCAACTGTTTTTATGTAGTAGAAGCCGAGGAAAGTTGAAATTAATTATTTTTGAAAAAATAATTTGGCGACAATGTTAAAATATTTAAATGAGGCGATTAATAACTTACGAGGAACTTGACTTACGCGCGCGTAGAGTAAAATTTCACTCATATTTTTATCGCCGATAGCCGAATGTTAAGTCTTTTTCTTTTCATTATGAAATACGATATTTTTTTAAAGTCATCTGAAAATTTACTTGTAATTTAGCAAAGTGATTTGAATAAAACATTGTATTCAACGGATGATGAATTTTATAAAAGCAGAATGTGGTTATACATCTACTTTTTTAATTTTATTTTTAGTAGGTTTCTGAATAATTGATACGATTTCATTAACATACATTCATATGCATTGATTTGGAATAATATATTTATCAATTTCATCAATATAAATTTTATAATTATCAAGAAATTACAACTTAAATGAAGATGAAATATTTATAAAAGGTATCGCTATATCTCCTTGAATAAAATTGTAATACCAACAATGATTATGCGAAATCGTGTTTTGAGATTCCATTTCACAGATATTTTGATTATCCATGATTTTGAATTCGATACCTTTGAGTTCGCCTTTACCTTTTTTTTTATCATCTTTTTTTTCCATACACTTTGATGCCTTTTCATGCATGTAAAATTTCGATTTGTTTTACTAATTCATAACTTCTCTGCGAAATCAGTTATTTTCGTAACTTTTAGGAATGATTGTATGTAATAGTGATGAATAAAGATTTATTAAACTGTAGGAATGTATATTTGCAACTATTTTAAAATATTTAACTCTCAAATACATACATCTTGAAACACATTTAACATTTTTTCAATTCAAACATTTTTTTAATGTATTCATTGTATCAACAACTTTAAATAGGTCTTTTGTTATTATATATATATATAT